AGTTGTTTCCACTCTTGATTTTTCACTTGCAATAATTGACTATTGCTTTTGAAACTTTAGGAGTTCTGTGGAGCTCAAGATAACGACCAGCTTCTGGCACTGAAGGTAACTGTTATTTCCTTCCGACAAGATAAGGTCGTTCATAAGAGAAGCCCCTCAACCTTGAGAATTCAAGTTACGAAGGGATCTAAATGGAGGAAAAGGCCACAATTGACTCCTGGGAGGGGGTTAGTGGTGGGGCAGATGTAGGTTAACATATAAAAAACAATTTGTTATTTTCTTTGCCATACAGTTATCTTTTTATCAAAAATAAAATGTTATTTTACTATTTCGGCTCCTTGTAAATTCTGGCTTCTAGCAATTGAATTTCATACAGTATTGTTCAATAACTAGTAGTTTTGTAGTTAAACCCACCCAAACCATGTAATCTATATGCGATATTAAAAATCTTCAAATCTCCCTCCAGTGGAACAAACGCTGATTTCTCTCTTCCCATTTTTATTGTTTCTAATTCTTACTTAGATAATCAAGTTTAACGCATCTTCTTGTTAGATTATCATCAATCTTCTTTTGAACATCATTAAAGTTGGTGGCATGTTGGAGATATGGTGATTATTATAATTCAATCTCTTCTTAGAGTTTCACACTATACATCCCTGTCTAGCTGATTGAGCTACCAACCAAATAATCTTTCTTTATACTTCAATTAATTTCTTCAAAACATTTTTGTGCATTCAACTTGTGACAAGAAGAAGGATCCAACTTCACTCGTAAGTATTGGTAACACTCTGACATGCATCGATGCATTACTAACCGTCATCTTCTGTAGATAATGAATTCATCTGGTCATTCCTGATTGAGTTCTTACCTCTTATATGGGAAATAATTCTATTCATATTACTCTGACCTCTGGAATGGTCTACCATCTAAGCTTATTTTCTTCTGAAGTACAGGGTGCACTTGATACTGCTAGGATTGAAGCAGATAAGATTATGCGTAGTGATGGACCACTTCTATTCCCACCTGGGCAGGTTATATTTTATAATTTACATCCTCTATTGAAATGATTTTTTACTGTATAGATGTGATTTCTGGCTCTTCTCACCTGCAGAGGATTATATTAACAGATACATACATTTTTGAGGCTTGCTTCATCTTTGTTGAAAGAACAGTTTCATGTTCCACTCAGTCATAAACTTTTGATACTAGTTTGTTTCCTTCTCATATTTTTTGTTTTCATGTGAAGTGTGGACATGGAGAATGGATCCTCTGTTATTGACAGTTAATTTTCCTAGTATGATTAGACTAGATCAAATCTAGTTCTTTTGAAGCTCCTTCTAACTAGACCTGACAACAAATTATGACTATCTCTGACAACTAAGCGAGGCTATACTTTTTGTCTGATGATTGATCGGAACTTTTTGGGAGAGGAAGAATGATCATCAATTACATCTGATAAAGTGCAATAACTGGTTAAGTTATGAGAAGAAAGGAATTCACATCAAATATAATGCCATATACGATATGTCCAGAGGAGCGATCACAAGGGTAAGTATGGCGGGGAAGGGGAAGGAACAATGGACTTTTCTCCATGTGGATTTATACTGGGGATCTATCTTGAGTATGTACTTTCTTAACCTAGTTATGGATGAGCTAAACAATAGTAAACAAGATGCCATAGTTGGTTCAGGATTGGCTTTGTCCTAGTGATTTTTTTACTAATATACTGTAGTTCTTTTTTGAGTTAGGAATTATCCTCTGTATTCTTTTCTCTCAACTCAAAGACACAGTATTTTGCAACCAGAGGCAATTCATGATTTGTGCATTGTGTGTTCGAGTTCAAATTATAATAATCCACTTACTTCATTGGGTTCAAAGTTTGTTATTTGTACTTATTTAGTGAATATTTAAACACACATGCAAGGTTTGAGCCAAACATACTTGTTCCGGATGAATTCGTAATTTATTATCTGGGTCCTTCTCTGTTTGCCACTCTGGTTCATACTACTGATAATTCTTCTCTGACCATTTTAATGCTTTTCATTACCTTTACTGTCAATATGCGAGTTTGGGAGTTCCAAATGTTGTCTGTGGGTTTCTATAACCAAGGAAAGCCTCCTCTCATAGTTGAATTATGTGCCCATAAGGTGGTTGTAGATAGATTCTGGAGGAGTTCTTCTGTATTTTGGCGAGGTTGTGCCCATAGGACTCATATTTAGCACAGGACAAATTATGTGATTAGTCAATATTAGATGATATCTGTTTTGACACAGGACAAGACTGCATTTTGGAAAAAATTGAAACACATAAGGATAAACTTTTTTCTGATGATCACTGAATGGTACCATACTTGACATATGAGAAATTCATCATCTGATGACCTTGTTGGATACCACAGTCAATTAAAAAACTCTGGATTTTGCATTCTATGTGATGATTTGCTCTTTTAAAATGTGCTACAGAATACAGATAATAATAGTCACATGTACATCTTAGATAACTTTCTGATTTAAGTTTCTTTTTACTTATTTCAGTTGGCATTGACAGCTCTGCATAGAGCTGATGCAGCGCATGGCATATTCGATTTTGAGAGGTCTCAGTCCCTTTCTCATTTGGATAGATCCACAATAATCTGGTTACAGTCTTATTAACTTGATAATGATTCTTCTACCAGGTACTTGAGAAGTGTCCTATCACATCATGATCAGCCAGGTCATGCCATTTCAGAACTTACTGATTCTATAAACGTTATCGATTCTTTGGCAAGTACTTAATCTTGTTACTACTGCATGCTTGGAATTGTTTATCTTTCTCTTCTTCTATCTATAAATATTTCTGACTCCTCTTACTGCCTGAACTCCTGGCATTTGAACAGGTTGGTAAACTTTTGACTCCGACTTCCAAAGACGTGAAGCACATTGATCGGAAACTCAAATCATGTCTTGATCCGGGTTCACATGACAAGTGCGTTCAATCAACTCTAATTTGATTGTCATTTTTCCATCTTTTGATTTTGCCATAATTCATTCACCCAGCCAGGAAATGATGCTGGTTTGTATTTGCAGGAGTAAAAAAAGGAAGCATAGATCCAAAGATAGCTCAAATGAGGTTACAGACATCTCTTGAGCTGCTCTTAACTCAAGTTTGTAGCTTCAAGCGTATGTTATTTGGCAATAGTTCATCATTGCTGCTCATCACAGTTTCCAGATATAGAGCAAAAAATCCAGTCATACTGGAAGACACCGTCTACTACATTTGCATTAGGTTTGAGAGAAGAAGCAGACGCGGAAATGGGATCAAAGTTTATGAATTGAACTCATTGTATTGTTTAAATTACGGGATTTGATCTTATATTTGTTCAGATTTTTAGTAGTTATATCGAAAGTTATGATTCAGATGAACATGTAGTCAAAGCCCCAACATCTTGTCCCAGAGAAGATCACATTGTTAAAGATGTGTAAGTAAGAATGGACTTATTTGTCTGTTTTAATATAACTTTTTTGGTTTTATATTTACTAATTCTATTTTTCAATTACTATATGGATAAATTATACAATCTTGGTGTTTATAAATTAACACCAGTATACAGATTTATATTTATACTATGTCGTGCGACTCTAGTTTAATTTCCATCAGTTAATTAATTTATAATATACAATTCTCTACTTATCTACGTAATTACTTCACTAATGCCAAAACACCATTAATCTTCCATCATTTCATGCTGAAGAAGAAATGTATTTGAAATTTTAAATCGTGTGATCATTTCATCTGAAAATTTAAATTGCTAGCTAAAAATTATATTACGCGTATGAACTAAGATCGATAGCAAACATATGGTATTACACATCATGAATGATGTCATTTACATATATGGTGCAAATCATTCAAAAATCAAAATTAACTAGGGTTTGCATAATTCTATTATAATATTATTATAATATAATCACAACTTTTAAGTGAACAGTGGATTCAGCTCCCCACTAGCTAGGATCCCTCTTCAAGGAAGATATTGGAAGAGTGGTCCCCTCCTCCCCTTAATTGCACAAACCCTAGGTTGCCTGCTTAAACCCTAATTCCAAAATTCATGCTTAATTAAACTCAATTTGTCTGGTTAATCATAAGTTCTGAAAACCATCTATATGTATAAGTAAAGATTGCTATGAAAAATATGATATATGATTAGATGGTATATATCCTCACAGTGAAAAGTTTAAAGTGTCGTCAAGAGAATCGGAGTAGATAACTGTTTAAAGGTATACTAAGATCGATCATGTGATAGATATGAACGATGAGTGGTGAAAGAGTATCCTGATTAATCCGATGCTAATTAATTAATATGGATGACAAGAATAAGCAAGATTGAAAATCAAGCTAAGACTCTAATTAATTAGTACCACATATTGATCTAACAATAAAAAATGCTAGAAGGTCGCTTGTGAAGGTATGATTACAAGAGATAAATTGTCAATTAACGATACTGATTTTGGATGCCCGATACTAGAGGATAAAAGATCCATTTTCGATAACAGATAGATGTTCCTCAAGAGAATAAAGAGAGAACATTCTTCTCGTAGATAGATCAAAGGAATGTAATACAAGTAGCTCTTATGTCATTTTTCGATGGTTTCAGTTCGGACGAGATAGATAGAAAAGCATTGAAGTTCGAAGTTTCCGGCTCGCTTTTTCTCTTCTCTTAGTCTCAATCAACCTAGTTCCGGGCCTTCTCTTCTACTCTATCTTCTTATTGGATTGATAGGTACAATCTTTCTTCTAGGCTTCTGATTAAACTTTAACATAACTTAAGTAAAGACAATCAACAAATAATTGATAAGTAAAGCTATGAACGAGTCATCCGTCAACCTCCAAATCATTAGGTCCATCGTATATTAAAGGAAAAAATGTCTTAAATAACTGTGGCCAAGCACTTAAACTAGAGGTTGGCATAGACACATAAAGCAAAATGAAACAAAAAGCAACGACAAAGAAATAGAAACACCTTGACAAAAAACTCCATATAGTTGAACGATACATCAAAAAAATCACCATAACACTACTGCACAAATCGAGAAATGATCCAAAATCTTTAATTGAAGCGTCTACGTTGCACTCTTTCCATTACATTAATCTCCAATGGTGCTAGAGAAGTAGTACTAGCACGTCGAGCTTCACCATCATCATCGTCATCATCAGTATTATCATCATCATTTAAACCTAATTTGTTTTGATTAGCTCTTACTCTTTCAAAGTCTCTCAACTTATACAAGTACCTCAACATAACCTCAGCATAGTTGTCAAAACCAAGTGAACTCAGAGCCCAACAGATGTCATCTCCATTAACCGTTCGACGATTCTCCTTGTGACACTTGTCAGATGCTTCACCAGTTACAAAACTAATAAATTCTGATGCACATTCTTGCATGGTTTCCTTAGCTTCTTTCGATATTTTGGCTGTTGGTGGCAAGATTTGTTTCATAATCCTTCCTACATTGGCTATTGGTACCAATTTCACATGTTCATCCACCATATCTTTATAAAAATACTTGTGGATTTTTTTTTTTGGTTTGTTAGATATGGGCGGATTCAGGAATTTATGTTAGTGGATGTTAATTTAGAGTGCGTGCACAATTTTTTTATATATATTCTGAATTTTTAACTGTATATATATATTTAAGTTGAAAACAGTAGATACACATGTATTCTGTATTGGATAAGGTGAATTTCGCACTATGTATATGTAATACTCAACATATGCATGTGCATGGAGCAGTGTGATATATATGCGCATAGTGTTGAATATATAATTAAGTAAATAAAAATATTATAAATGTTTATATTTTTTGTTACGATTTTGAGAATTATGTACTTATAATTAATTAACTAAACAAATTAAATTCAAATCTCCAATGTTCGGTCAAAGTTGACAAGATTAGTGGTTTTAAAGTGAATTAAAATCTAATCGAATCCACTAATTCGAAGATTAGCATCATTTAACTTTTTAAGCATTAGTCACGTCTGTTAGGGTACCATAAAAAATGGTCCCCTCCCCTCAAATTTCCTAAGTACCTGCTAAATAATTTTTAATTTCCTTAATTAAACTGGTTTTAAAATAATTAAAAGTATTAACACTAAAGGTTAAAATGAATGGACGACGTTAATGCACGTTTACATGTGATATTAATTAATCAAATTAAAGAGCAGAAATGGAAGGAATGATTTACTAATACGAAACCCTAGTGTTTGATTACTAATAAGATTTAGGTTTTTGTCGGCACAACCCTTTAATTAATTAAACTTTTTATAATTTTACTAATTAAAAAAAAAATATACTGTATCCCCACATGATGAATGTTCACTGCAGATTCTGCTTTTAATGGAGTAATATTATTTTTCCTCAAAATTATGAAATTCCTTTTAGTGTACTTGATCATGTTAATTACATCATTTATTTGTTTGTGGTATTATAACTATAGGATTTCTTATTATTTTTCTTGCTATATTAAATTTAAGTTTTGTGCGCTGTTATTATTTTCTACCCGCCAGCCCATAAATGAGGATAAAATGACAATATTTATATTTTATTACAAGATTTGCGATTAATTTGATGCTCATCACTTTATTTACAAAATAAATTCTAATTAATAAAAAGATTTCATGATTTCATCCCCTTTTGTTTTAATTTATTAAAGCTAGTGTCAGACACATATTTTTACATTTTCATTACACAAACTATACTTTTTATTAATTCGTCATATAAAATACTTTTTTGACTAAATAAATCAAAGTATTTGCATGTAGACAATTTTTATTCAGATTGAAACTATAAATATGAACTTTAAAAATATTAAATTCACTTCCATAGAAAATTTTATATTTGAAAATGTGTACTGCCTTCGACAAAATTGCAAGAATGTCTATTTTCTTTTCGGGAAAATACCAAAAAAAAAAAAAAACAAACAAGCAAAACGCATTCAATATATAAGTTCAATAAGTTAACTGAACTATCAAGCGGCTTGGTCCATGTCAGAGCTAGGTAGGACTTAGGGGTATAGACGAGCTTCTTTCGATAAAAAAATTATCATGTTTATATATGGTTTAGTATATATATTAGATATTTTATCCTCTTATATTATTTTTATGTTTATTTTTTTATATTTTAAAATCCTTAGCATAAATCGTGAGTTTGAGTGTGTGAATATATATATTCCTACTATAGTCAGACGTCAGTACTCAAATTGAATTTTTTTATAATGTAAAAATTATATAATACTACTAAATAATTAATTGATGTTATGCAGAACATTCTTTTTGGTTCGAGAAACTTAGTTTTGCAAATTAGCTCAATCTCTTATTTACATGTACTCCATTTATTTATATTTATATTCTAAAGAAAAACACCAACAAGCTTCTCTTATTGACACATCTAGGGTTAGAAACTTTATAGGTATTCCAAGCCATTATTTTATGTTAAAATCCATAAAGAGACTCTCAAGCACCACGTTAATTTTTGGGAACATGTGGAGTATCTTACTGTTGAAACAACAAGGAAAAGAATTGAAAAAAAAGTCTATAATCTAATTGGCCCAGCCTATTGCTACAGAACTCTATAGTCTATATTCACAATATTCTTCTCTAAATTCCAAGTAATAATTCTATAACCTAGACTCATAAACTATCAAATGTTTTGCGAGTTTAATATTTAAACTATGGTGATTGATGTGTTTATATTATCGATCACTTGAATTTTATATACTTAAACACTACTGGAAAGGTCTATTTTTAAGTAGTTAAGTATATTGTTCATAATATAGGAATGTAATAAACTTCTTGTTTAATAGTTTTTTATGCTCTATAATGTGTAGATGATAGATCATGTTCAATTTATGATTGAAATTAGGAAATGGACCGGAAATATAATTTGTCTCTTAATTATAATTATATACTGTCGAAATATATTATATTTTTGAGAATTTTACACAAATTTCATAGTGTTAAGAGCTAATTATATCATATTTCTATTCCTTTTTAAATTACATAAATCACTTAAATTTGGTGCAATACGAATACATTTCAAAACGTCTCGATACACCGCATTCCGGTCTTAAATATATATTCCTCAAGTCTCATCATCATGATACATTGTCAATTTCGGATACATCACTCGACATTGCGATACATTGTCAATCCTGATACGGCCGTGTAAAATAATGTATCTAACAGTGATGTATCTGTGAATAAAAGAAGCAGATTTTTTTTGTAATTTGTTTAAATAATAGGAAATTTCAGAAAATATGATAAAATAAGTTGTATATTTAGATTAAAATATAGGGAAAATTATATGAAATGGCAAACATTCATAACTAATTATATCATAGGGGTATAGTTTAATTTATTTACCTTATATAATTATAGTTTTTTTTTTTTGCTATAATTAATGGGGTCCACAACCTATTATGTAACCAATTGTATAAAAAACTTACTTTCTTATTTTGTATATAATTATACAAAAAATAATTTTCTCTCTCTTTTTCACAAACAATTTTCTCTCTCCTTTTAACATTCCAACGTTTTCTCCTACATTTAATACTCCAGCTAGCCAGTTTGAAATTCAAATTGTTATCCAAAATTAGATTTCTCCTTCCCTCCCCAAGTTGAAGTCAATTTCGTAAGTACTCCTTAATTTTAGTTGTTTACCCTTTTTTTTACTTATTTAAAATTTGTATATGTGTTCTGTTTATTATTATTTTTCATATATTTTGAAGAAATAATCGATTTTTTGTTCTTGATAGATTTAAAATTGGTAAAACAATGAATGAATCATCTTCATCATTGAGGATTACAAGAGGTAGTCCTTGGCATGTCAATGTTGTTGACATTTTACCATCCTTTTCAATGGGGTTAACTCAAGATTTTGGGGTTGATGTAGGTTCTTCGGGGAAATCAAATCAAGTTATACAAGAACAAACCATGGAAGAGCTGAGATCAAAGAAAAAAAACGACCCTATGGCAGTACAACAAGTTATTAAAAATGCCAAAGCTAGAGGCATTAAAATTGTACAAGGAAGAAGAAAGAGGAAAGCTGTAAACATTGAATCAGAGGAAAATTCTTCTGAAGTAGTCGGATCTGAAGAACTTCATAATCAAGAGGTAATGTCTTAAAACACAATATTAGATACAATTTTTTGGTTAATTAGTTGTCAATATACAAAAAATATTAAATTAAGTATTGTATATAGTATATTCCATGTTTAGTAATTGTATATAGTATATTTAAGTATTGTATACGGGAATATATGATTAGAATTTGTATATTCTATTAGTTATATACAAATTATTGAAGTTAGTACACAAAGTAATTGGATTTAGTTATATAGATGGATAAATATCATATGTGATTATAATTTGTATATTGTAGTAGTTATATAGATGGGAAAATATCATATGTGATTATAATTTGGATAAATGCAAAATGGGCCAGAAGCAATACTATGTATCCAATAGTTCAGTTTGCACGGCGTTTTCCTCCTAATGGCTAGTATCCGTCTTGGACTGAGCCCAATGAGCAAAATGGCTAAACTTAATTGCTTATCAGATCAGTAAATGCATGAAGTGTATAAATATACGTAATTATGAGTTAATCATAATCATTTTAGGTAGACATTTATTTCATTATATCATTTAACTACAGTAAATTGCAAATAGTTCATTTGGCATAAGCTGGGTGCGAGGAATAGCGGACATGATAGAGTGGCTAGGATTAAATTATGTAGCGTAAAAGCATTATCTGTTCTTTGAGATGGGGTGAGGGAGCAACTTGTTTAGTCTTACATACCGTTCATTCTTGTTATGAATGAAATAATATCTCCATTTAAATTGAGTCTACAATTTTTGAATCTTTTTATTTAATATAATAATTTTTTTAGCTAATTTAATGGATAAGACGATTCTCCAACCCAATAATGGTCACGTAAACGATACATGGACAGCAATTTAAGTTAGCCAATATCCCACTAATTGTATACTATGTGATCTCTTTGTCAACTGAGATAAATAATTCAACGTCCGAAACCTAAATTTTAAACCAAATGGAACTTTAACGGTCAAGCCCACCCACACCCTCAAAGTCAACGTTAACATATATTTATCTCACATAATTATGTATAATAAAATGTGTAGTAATTACTCCATCTCAGTTGATTATCTCAAATAATATTATTTTAACAGCCAATTTGGTGCTTAGATTTTAGTGCTTTTTTGCTGTTTCCTTTCGGGATTTGCGCTTTATCCAAGCTCATGAACATGCCCATATGTGTTATAAGCTTAGAATTCACGATTTTCCAGCTCTTTAGTTCACTTGGTGTTTGTTTCAAGCAATTTTTAATGCACACTTTTAAGCTGATATACGCCATTATATTTGAAGTTTTAGATAAACTTAGTGCGAGTTTCCAATTTTACACCTTGCCGACCCCAGCTTGTTTGGAACTGAGACATAGTTATTGTTTGGTGCTAAAACCAGGTAATTTATTAATCTGCTTCTTCAGTTGATTATATGAATTCCATTTATGTGGGCAATGTTTGTGTTGAATC